AGTTGATGCACGGATTTCATCGCGTTCGCTATCGACAATCTGTTGACGTCCGATGGAATGACGTCTTGGATGTCATCACGATAGCGCCTGAAGTCCTGGCGGATGTGTCGCGGAGGTGGATCTGCCATCACAGTGTGATGTTTAGGATGACACGGCAGATAACACGCCAGCAGGAACTGTCTAGTCAACAACACATTATGTTGCTTGACTGACAGCATCCTGGTCTCCTCATGGAGGTGATCGACGCTCGTCATCTGGACACACCCGGTTGCAAATCGGAGTGCATTATTTTGGGAAGTTTGCAATGATCTCCATTGTGTGTCGCTAAGGAAAGAAGTCCAGACTGGGGCAGCATAATTCAGGATGGAACGACCTATAGCTTTATAAGTCGTTACCAGCGTTTCTTTATCCTTGTCCCAGGAGGTGCCAGCCAAAGCTTTCAGAACTTTATTCCTAGCTTTCACCTTCTGGTCGATGTAATTGGAATGCGAGGAGAAATGAAGAAGGCTATCGAAGACCACCCCAAGAATTTTCGAATTATGGACGGTGGGGATGCGCCTACCTTCAACGGAAATGTCAAGTTCTAGATTGACTTCTCGCGTCCAGGAAGTGAAAAGTGACACAGTAGACTTTGCAGTGGATAATTTTAGATTGCGCTCCCGGAAGAAGTTGGTGATGGTGACTAGATAGTTGGAAATTCTTGCACTTACGTCGTCAACGTTAACGCCGGACGAAATAATCGTACAGTCATCGGCGTACGACACCACTGAAACATTTGGTGGAGGAATGGGGAGTTTCGCAAGATACATGTTGAACAAAATGGGGGAAAGGACACCGCCTTGCAGAACTCATTTTGATCTTGCGATATTTGGATTTTTGGCCACGGAACTCAACGAAGGCCTGCCGCCCATTAAGGTAGTTGGCAAGCCAACGTTTGATATCACATGGAAGGGTGGAATTTGTGATATCAGAAATCAGCTCGGAATGATCGACCGTATCAAACGCCTTGGACAGATCTAGAGCTGCCATAATGGTCCGTTCGGGTGGTCGTCGCTGATTGAGGCCATTCGCAATCTTGGAAGTAATTTCTTGCAAAGCCGGTGTTGTGCTATATGATTCCCTGAAACCGTGTTGGTGGGGAGCAAGAACGAAATGCTGTTTCAGGGACGGAAGCAATAGAGACTCTTGGCTTGGTCCTGTTCTGCGAAGATGGATGCTCAATGAATTGGCGGCAGAACTGCATTGCACATTTCATGGCATCGGAATGTTGAATGTTATCGAAGGAAATAGCAGGGAGATTTTTATTTCTTTTGGAACCAGATAGACTCTTAATTGTGGACCATAGCTGCTTGGAATTTATGTTGCAGTGGTTAAGGTGTTCTAACCATTTAGAGCGCCTGTGCTCAAGGACTAGAGCATCTATTTCAGCGCTAAGCTGCGGAATTCTGTCGTCAGCGGGGCTTTCGGCACGGTGTTGGTCGCGTTGCTGTGCCAATCTGGATGCCCTGGATGGACAATTTGGTCTCATTAGAGGAATTCTGCCCGCAGGAATAAAGCGTTCTCGGAAAATCTTCTCACCCTTTCTGGCACATACGGGTGGCGGCATAGGACTTAAGGAGTCCTCAATGAATTTTGTGAAGCCGTGCCAGTTGGCTTTATTATAATTCATGAAAGTACGCTGATCGGGCTCCACGAAATCGCTGGGTTTCTCTACCGTGACCAGGATGGGAATATGGACTGAATTTAAAGCGACCTTGGTTTGCCAGGAAGTATATGGAAGGAGCGATGGACTGACGATGGAAATGTCCGGAGAGCTCGAACACCTGGCAGTGACTCTGGTAGAGGATTCCTCATTGATGGAAGCGAAATCGGACTCGTCTATCTGGTTTGCAATAAGAACACCGCGAGGATCATTTGGAAGTTGAGAATACCATATCTCATGATGAGCGTTGAAATCGCCAAGAACAAGTTGCTTGGATGATAACTAGCACCTATGCTGTTGACGGGCCTAATATATACATTGACAATTTCAATTTCAGCATCGTCGGAATGAACTAAAATGCTCAAAACCTCCAGGAAAGGATCAGACTGGGAAGGAGACGGAGGGGTAGTCAGATATATATCTGACATCTCGCTGGATGATGAATGCGAGTCCCCCGCCATGGTCTCTATCTCTGTCTCGCCGAATGATATTGTAATTCCCGGAGGAGGATAAGCAACAACTACTGGTCAGCTTCGTCTCTTGCAAGGCAGCAATGAGGATCTTGTTTTCATGCATGAAGTTTGTGATCTCAATTACCTTATTCCTAAGACCATTACAATTAAATTGCCTGATTAGGAATGAGGTATTTGGATCACTCCCCTGCATGGACAGCTGCTGTAGAGGCAGGCGGGTGGAGTTATTCGGCGAACGGCTGTTGTCTGGATGGGAAGTTTTGAGCATTCGTTGTTGGAATAGGATGACTAGAAGGCGTTCCCATGACAATCGGATCTACGCTCCGGAACGATCCGAGTTTGACTCGGCCAGGGATTGTCAACTCAGCGACAGCTGTACATAACGAAAGTTTTTTCCACATGTCGGCAGCTTTGCTCGCCATTCTTTTAATCCGTGCCGGCGTTGAAGAAAACCCAGGCCCTGATGTCTGGTTTTGTTCAGTGTGTCATCAACGCATCGCTGCAAATTCCACCTCTGTGCGATGCAATGTTTGCAACAATTGGTGTCACCTGAGGAGGTGCTCAGGTCTCACCTCAAACCGCGACTGGTCACGCAGCTTCATTGCCAGCTGTTGCCTGCAGCCTTCGACATCTAGCACCTTAACCTGCCCTAGTGGTACTGTTCGGTTTGCGGGGAAATCATACGGAGAAATATGACATCTGTAAGGTGCAATGGTTGCAGAAACTGGTAATTTGTTGTTGTAGGTTATACTTGTGACAACGCCATTTGACAGAAAAATGTAAACCAGCAAACAAATTATATTTATTTTGAAAATGAAATATTTTCGAATCTTCAAAATAAATGTTGAAAAACATGAATGAAAATCTATAAAATTTATATTTCTATCGCTTCCACGTCTTTCCTCTAATTGAGCCATTGCCACTTACATGTGTAACACATATGAAAATGCTGGGAATTGCGAGTTATTCCATGAAGAAAGATTTGCTTCCTCAAACTTTCCCAGCAGGCAGATTGAGTAAATTAAATATGGGAGCACATTTAATAAAGAACAATTTCAAATTGTATGCGTTCCCAATTTTCCTGTTGGGTGATTTTTAAAAACATAATTTGTCAAATTCATATTTACACTATATTACGTTGGAATTTCTGTTACCTTTCATAATTAGCTGTCTGTTTACTAGATATTTGGTAACAATTGTTACTAAATGTTACTAAATGTTGTCTGTTTACCCAAAAATCCAGTAAAAGAGAGCAAGTTTGACAGTTCAACAACAACAAACTTACTGGAGTTTACTGAAAGAATTTTATTCAGTAAGATTTTGCAAACTTAGCCATTTTGAGATCAGCTGTTTTATGACCAAACACAAAAATTGTTCAATTTTTTTTTTAATTTGCAAAGTTCAATTTGAAGTTTAGTTGTATAAAAATCACGGAAAATGGAAGAAAATTCGTAAGTAATGCAAAGTTTCATTTAATTAGAAACTAATTACTTATATATTTTTAGGCAAGTTCCAGATAGAGGGCAATGTATTGATGCAGGAAGCTTAAATGTTCCCGGGGAACATACCAAATCAGTTTTTCTTTTATTGTTCATTTTATTTTTAATATTAAATGCAATACAAATAATTGTGTTTGTCCTTTGTTTGTTTTTTATTTTGGCGCAAATCAAATGTTTTCTTGAATCAGCTGTTTATTTGCTAAATCTTACTAAATGTTGTCTGTTTACTTTTCTCAGTATTATCGCAAAAGAGAGTGAAAGAGGCTTACTCTCTGAACTAGAACTTAATGAATCAGTTTTTCTTTTATTGTTCATTTTATTTTTAATATTAAATGCAATACAAATAATTGTGTTTGTCCTTTGTTTGTTTTTTATTTTGGCGCAAATCAAATGTTTTCTTGAATCAGCTGTTTATTTGCTAAATCTTACTAAATGTTGTCTGTTTACTTTTCTCAGTATTATCGCAAAAGAGAGTGAAAGAGGCTTACTCTCTGAACTAGAACTTAATGAAATGGAAAAGTAACCAGACACACCTATTGTACCATGGGCTTTGTGTAAAGTGGGCCACACACCTCAAACATGTGCGTTCGATCGGTGTGAAGCTCCTAGCCCACACACGTCAAACGGATCCATCAAACTTCATTTCATATTTATTTTTGATGCGTGAAGATGGACCGCGATAGTGATGACGGAAAAAAGACGAAATATTTTTATTTAATATAAATGTATTAAAATACTTTTATTTTATTCCGGGAAAAACATTTTTATTTTCCACACAATAGAATATGTGTAAAAACATCAAAATATCTTCCAAATACATATGTATTGCATTTGTCCGCTGATCCGCACTCCACGAAATTTCTCAACAAATGAGAAAATATCCACACACCAGGCCACAGACGTCAAACATGTGCGCGTCGCACAACGAAAAATTAAAAATTTTTAATTTCCTTCGATCGGTGTGAACAACACCGTACCACACACGTCAAACATTGCTTCGACTCACACCGATCGAACGCACATGTTTGACGTTTGTGGGCCACTTAAATGTGTATGTAATGTTATGAAAAATAAAAATATATATTCTAATATTCATTGGCTTAAAGATGAATTTTACAACATCGGTAAGAAGAAATTTATGAATTGTAGATGAATCAATATCTAAATCATATTCCCAACTCGATTTTGAAACGAGAACCTGCCATTCCATTAAATGAAATGAACAGAACGACTTGAATATGCACATGTTAATTTTTATTCTGGTTTTAACCAGACTTATTTTATTTTGCACTTTTCTATTTTCAGAAAACAAATCATGTTATTAGATTACGATTTTAAAATAACATCATTAACTGTATTTAAATGGTGATCTACGACAACTTTTTCATCGTATTTCTTTTCAAAAACGACACAAGAATTATTTACATTTTCGGCGGATACTAGTAAATTAATAGCTTCCTCTGTTTCCTCTTTGGGGTCTTTTAGTGATGGAGATTGTTTTATTTCGACAGTACTTGTGGGACTTTGACGATCGTTGTGATTTTTGAGATGCATTTTCAGAGTGTAACGCTCAGTGAAAGATTTTGGACAGAGGGTACATTGATGTCGCGGCCGATTTTCTTGGTGGATTATTATATGATGGTTGTATGTCTTACGAGATTTGAAAGACTGATTACATATACTACAAATTACTGGATTATCTTCTGCTTCGTGGCGCAGTCGGTGATTGTACAGCATGTTGTCCAAGGAAAATCGCTCCCCACACTTTTCACATTGGAACTTTTTCTTATCCCAATGAACACGCATATGTCGTAATGTGTTTACGGGACGTGAGAACTTTTTGGGACAATATCGACATTCATTCTCGGTCTTGCCTTCGTGAATGTTCATATGAAGTTCTAAGTATTCCTCATCTTTCCTCGTCACACCACATATTTTGCAAGTGAATTGTTTTCCACTGTGAATCTCATTTATGTGACTTTGCAACAAATATTTTGAAGTAAAAATAGCTCCACACATAGGACAGTCCTGTTGATTACGTTTCCGCTCTCCCCCAGTACTAGTCACCTCAACTATATGAAAGTTCGTTTGCCCACTGCTGTTACAAAATCCACCAGTTGAATCGTCCACAACTTCTTCGATAACATCGTCATCCACTTCGATCAGTTCTTCTTTTGTGTCAAGATTTGGGTTAAATGCATCCTCTAAGGTTTGATCAGCTCCTTCAAACTCCAGTTCAATTTGTATAGGTTCCTCATTTGCAAGTTGTTCTTGGACACCCTTCTCCGCCAGAGCGTAGTGCAACTGGCTAGTCAGGCGCCGTTGGGAGTTCAACAGATTCAACATTAGGTCATCATAACTAGCAAGTTCTCTGAAACAATCACCACAAATGTATGTCCCACTTTGGAAAATCAATTTGTATTTTAAGCAATTCGCCAAATGCTGGAGGACGACATGTAGGGGCTTCTGTGAATATGGTACAATTGCGGATAAAACGTCATAGAAGTCATCATTGGATTTGGAAGTGTTATCTGTGCAAAGGAAACAAACAACGGATTCCATAGAAATGTGTTCTGAAGTAATTGCTTCCAATTGAATTTGTTGCTGCTATTCCAATTAAATAATAAATAAAATCGAGAATCTCGAAATATTTTCACTTCACTGTGGAAATAAACAATAGTAGAACGAACTATTTCATGGGAACTATTCCGAGAAATGAACAATCAAAACTAGTCCCAGCCATTTAGTTCATCTAGTTATCTAACTCCCCACACACATACAGTAAAAAATCTAAACTAATAGAAAATAGCAAAGGAATTGAATTTAAGGTTGAATTTAACTATTTCACTGAATACGACCCGATTTTTTTGATTTTTTCCAGCGTACATTATTGAAACTGGAAGTTTTGAGTTTTAGGGTGAAGTTAATATTACTTTCCACCAACAAATTTTTATGTGGTTGCTGTTTCCGACGGTTGTACAACAGCACTTGATTGTAATCTCAGATATTATGGCATATAGTTTATACAATGGTACAATTATACAAGGTAGTGTATCTTTTGTCAACATAGAGAAAATTCCCAACTCATTGTTAAAAATAAGTCCTGACATTCCATTCTTTTTTCGCTTTATTAGTAAAATGTTAAAAATATGTCAAATGAACAGAACGGCTTGTTGGATTAGTTTTTATTTATACTGACATTATAGCCCACAGCGTATAGGTATATTTTTTTCTTTGTTTACAAAAGATATCATATTTGTACCATGCATTGTACAATGGCTGCATCTGTTGAACCTTTTAACCATACAAAACATTAACAAATGGAATTATTGGTGGTGGTGCTATTTATGCTCGCTAGTTGGGTACGGGCCCAATCATTTTTACTAGACTAGCATTAAGCCCAATTGAAATCAGTTATTAACATGGCATAACTATAAAAGTTAGTCTCATGCACTCATATGTTTCCAATTTTTCCATAAATTTCCAAGGTAGATATACAAGGTAGCCGCATCGGCGAATTTCTACAACAAACATCGGTTGTTGTATTTTGATATGTCAAAAATATTTTGCCAAAACAAACAGATTGACAAGATTTTTTTACACAAATTCTCGTAGAAAATGTTAATAAAAGTATTGTCAAAAAAGCTCTTCGAAATTCGGAGATTTTCATTTATAATTTTGTTTTTTTTTTAATTTTTTGGTTCAACATTACAACAACATTTTTGACATTTATTTGTCCAACAGCTGGGCCGATGCGGCTACCTTATTAAATATACCTTGATAAATTTCCTTTGTCAACATTCTGCTTTCAAAGTTTAAGCGAAAATATCTTCCTTCGAAATATACGCAAATCTTGTGCTCAGTGGCAAATATTTTTGAATGATTTAATTTATTAATATTTTTCAGTTCCCTGCCTATATAACCTATAAATATAAATTGCAACATTCGCCATGCGTAACATTTAATGGAATTTATTTTTCATTTTATTTGAAATTGATATATGAATTACACATTAGGAAGGGTTGCCATTATCCATTTCTCAAATGAGACTACCTTGTATAGTTATGCCATTGGTCATTAAATACTCCCGTACGATCACAATTGTTGCTTACGTCTTCATACGAATAATTCAAAAAGCATTTTGACAACACGGGTGACCATAAAAGTGAACCCATGGTGCAATAATAAGGTGATGTATCAAACAAATACATATTTTTTTATTCGATCATCTGTCAAATTTTATCTAGTAATATTTCTCATGGTTTATCATTGCATGACGAATTTAAATGGAAACTATGCACTTGGACAGTAATCGGATAGTCAGCTGCGCTTCGCTAAATATATTACACAGTGAACCCTTCTTATGCCACAGTCAGAGTTATCGTTGTGCGACAAAAGTCGCAACATGCAACCTTTTTAATCCCTGTGTCTTCAACTTTTTAAGCTTTTTGCGACACAAGGGAATTTGGCATATTTTCGGAACAGTTTTATTGAAAAATTTACTTTATTGTACGACTTTTTTAGGGCTATTGTGTCATATATTTCCTAAAACCGGCACAATTTTGCGTCATTTACCACACAAAAATAAATGACGATGAAAACACCATACTATGCTATACAATTTGTTGTTGTGCCATAAAGTACTATAAGTTGTAACTTTTCTCATTAAATGAGTCGCTCGGTGCATATAGATTAAGTACACTTTTGAATAATATTAAATTTAAGTATCAAAGTTCTTCGTATAGTCATAATTTGTATGCTTATTATAATTTTTCCGAATAATAAAGATTATCGTAATTTTGCATTCAACATATATAGTTGAATTCATCTTATTAAAGCAATTTTAAAAACACCATATATGTCATCGGATTTCTCTACTTTTCATTTTATGGATGTAACCGATATTTGCACTGAGCGACTGAAATTATTTTGTCTCTTTCAGATGATTTTCATTCAAGAGAAAATCGAAAATAGGCATAAACAAAATTATAAATAACAAATTCTAATATAAATTTGATTTAAAAACTTTTTTCTTCTTTTTGTAAACAAGTGTGTTTGTGTATATCGTTAGCTGAAATGCAATAAACTACATGTGTTGACAAAGTTTTACACGTCTGCGGTCAAAAAATGAGCTTCTATTAACAAAAAACAAAAAGATGTAACTACAAGTGGGTTTATAATAATAATATAATTGAATAACAATTTTGTTTTATTTAGGTATACATCTGTCAGTGTATTAAAAGTGAACTTAGAAAAATCTTCATTTGACATGTTTTCATTCAAAACTGTTTTTTGCTTCTCCTACACAATTATGCTTTTGTTAGTTACGCCTTTTTGCATTTTAGCTAACGATATGTAAACAAATACCAGCTGACAGTCATTTGAAATGATCTCAAAGCCAGTGTAAATAATCTTCATTTATTTTCAGGATTTCTTATATCCACATCATATATAGGGCGTATGTAAATGAGCTATAATTTTTTAACAATTCGCAGCGGTAACACTGGCCACATTTTACCAATCGTTCCGGGCAATCCTATCACAGAATCGTTCAATTGAACTTGTTCGCTTCAGAACAAAACAACTCTCTATCGCGTGAAATGAAGTGTTTGTAAACAGAAAACTCACAGTATTTATCAAAAATTTGAGCTGTTCTACTTTATTCTGAGATTACTGGGTAAAATAATTCACTAGGAGTATGAGTCGGCCAATGTGTCATATATGCCATGAAAGCAACTATAGGCTTTTATACAATGAAGAAGTATACAAAGCCAAAGCTCCTAAATCGAAGAAGTCTATTCTGGATGTAATAAAACACATTTCAAGGGTTATAAAAGTAACTTTCAACGTCCCCGCCAGGGCACGGGTCTGCATTTCCTGTTATAAAGAGCTTGTTCGCTACGATTGCTATGTTGTGGAATTGCTACAAGTGCAGAAGGTTATAACGGCCAAAATTTATAACAGAGCCAAAAATTCTAAAACATCTCTCACTTCATCATCCAGAGCTGAATATTATGAGAATCAGCAATCAAATGAGTTTTTGGAAAACGAACACACTGTGAAAGAAGACGAGTGCAGTGATTTCGAAACAGAAGAACCCAAGGAGGACAATGCTTTTGATAGCGACAATATAATTGAGGAATCTGAATTTGTTGAGGATGAGTTTGAAGATCCAGAAGAAGGTGATTTAGTTTCAAGTGGGACTTTTGCATGTCCTGTATGCAATATGAAATTTATGACTCAGAAAGATGTCGACTCACATTTAGACAGCGAACATAAAACCAGAGTCACCTGTAGCGAATGCGGAGTGCAGGTGCGTAACGAGGAATATTTGGTGTTACATATGAATATACACAATGGAAAGACAGAAACCGAGTGTAGTTTCTGCGACAAGAAATATGCCCGCCGTGCGAATGTAATTCGTCATATGGAAATACATTTCGACAAGAAGAAACATCAATGCGAACGCTGTGGAATGTTCTTTTCGCAATCCACAGTATTCTTTAATCATCGCCTGCAACACGAAGCCGAAGACAATCCTCTCATTTGTCCCATATGTAGTCAGAGCTTTAAAACGAAACGTACCTATAAACGACATATGATTACCCATCAGGATGATAGACCGCGATATGGCTGTGAAATCTGCGGCAAAGTATTTGTTGACAAATACACTCTAAAGATGCACATGCAGACTCATCACCAAGGCGATGAGAACGAAACCCCAAAGAAAAAACAAAAGCCAAACGAAGAACAAGAGCAGGTTTTGTTCACTTGTGTTATATGTCAGGATATATTTTTGATGCGAGATTTATTTAACGAACACATGCAAACTATGCACGACGTAGTAATGGACACATAGATACTATTTTAATTGTATTGTATTATGTTTAAGTAAATAAAACATTGTTTATACTATTAAATATTTCCCTTTACTGTTCGGAAATTTTCTAGAGCTATCGGGAAAGACATTCTTTTGAAAATGAAATTACAGAAACCATAAGGGCAGATGCTAAATGTCATAGAATATGCATCTATTATGAAGTAGTGTCGAAAGAGTTTTATGACCAAAGTTAGGCATATTTTATTGATTCCTTGTTTTGCATATGACATTTTTAATAGATTTTTTAGGTTTAAAACAAATTGCGTAGTTTTAATAAACTTCTAAATAGAGAGCGGATAAACAATCCAAAAATGCAATTATACAAACCGTAGTAATTTTTTATTCGACTTCAAACAATATTTCTAAATAGAAAATTCTTGTATTTAATATCATATACGAAAAATATCAATATCCTTCATCGGAAATTTCAATTGTATAATCCGAGTAGGTTTTCAACAAAATCTTTCTGGACTCTGAATGATCTGCTTTTCCATAACCCTAAATGTAAAAAGAAATTTGTTTATCACACTACAGATATCAATAATATTCCTTTTACCTGTGAATAACCGTAAACTTTAATTAGTTTGGCAGATGGATTGTGCTCAATTCTACCACCGCCTAAACATTCGGTATCCAGACCTAGGCCTTGACATGAGGTGCTGGCACGTTCATATATATCAGCTAAAAATTGTTAAAATAAGATTGCCTTTTTGTATACATATACTTATACACAAGTATGTAAATGTTACTTACAATGCCACTCGCAATCAGCATATCCCCTAACAATTAGTTTGCTGGGTTCCGCTCCATCGGCTTGTTGTTTGCCGTATACCTTGATCAGGACGTATTTGAAAATACCTTCTTCGATGTCAACATCTTTAACAGCTTCCAATTTAGGATCGCTCATTTTGAAAGTTCTGTAATCTATAAAAGCGTTTCTAATACGAAAAAATTGTCTTCTAATTCTTCTTAACTTACTTTGTCCTGTAGAATATATATGCCGACGAGACACAACGCACCGAACAGCAGTTCTCAACATATCTTAATGACACAATCAACAGCTGATTGTTGAACATAAAAGTAAACGACAGTATCAAGGTCTATATATTAGGTCACCCAGTAAGGCCAGCTGATATCTAATTTTTTTTGTCAAAATATTTAATTTCGAATAAAAAAGTATCGAAATTATGTAAAAAATTCTATTTTAAGGCCCGTACCTAAATACAGTGCGTTGCGTACTAAAATATCCAACTTCTCACCTTTATAGGGTTTGTTGAACGTCAGCATTACACAAACAAGCAAGGACTTTATTAACTTGTGTGTCAATTGAAAACGGCGAAAATGGATGAAAACATTTTCTTAATTAATCAAAAAATATTTAAATTTATAAAAAACTAATTTTTTGAATGAATTATATTTTCAAAAACAAAAAAAATCGTAATATGCATTGTCAATGTTGAAAATTTCCAACTTTATATTTTTATACGCAATGCGTTTTTGGGTAACATTCATTGAAATACATGTATCAAGGCCTATATAAGGTCGGCAAGTAAGTGAATTCATAGAGAAAACTTATGTTTAATGTCATTTTTTTGCCGAGGCGAAAATTATTGTTCCGCCCAAGGTATAATTAATAAGGCAGCCGCATCGGCCCAGCTGTTGGACAAATAAATGTCAAAAATGTTGTTGTAATGTTGAACCAAAAAATTAAAAAAACAAAATTATAAATGAAAATCTCCGAATTTCGAAGAGCTTTTTTGGCAATACTTTTATTAACATTTTCTACAAGAATTTGTGTAAAAAGATCTTGTCAATCTTTTTGTTTTGGCAAAATATTTTTGACATATCAAAATACAACAACCGATGTTTGTTGTAGAAATTCGCCGATGCGGCTACCTTGTATATCTACCTTGGTTCCGCCTTTAAATAAAAAACACAACAAACTCTATAATTTTCTAAGATAATTACTTGAAAATGTTCTTTAAAACCTTGAAATTGTCGGAATGTGCATCACAAAGACGATTTAAATTAAAATTGAATTGAACATTGACAAAATATAAATATTTATTATTTATTTATTTATAAATATTAAAAAATCTTTAAAATGCAAACACTTTTGACTTTTATTTTCTTTCTTTTTTATTTTGATTCGCAAATTTGGCAAAGAAAAATTTGCTAATGGAAAAGCAAGCGAAAATTTCAAAAGAGAAAACAAAATATTTGCCAAATATAAATCTGCCTGTGGAAAAGCAGACTAAGCGAATTCATAGAGAAACCCACGGTATATTTAATAAGGTAGCCGCATCGGCCCAGCTGTTGGTGCAAATAAATGTCAAAAATGTTGTTGTAATGTTGAACCAAAAATTAAAAAAACAAAATTATAAATAAAAATCTCCGAATTTCGAATTGCTTGTTTGGTAATACTTTTATTAACATTTTCTACAAAAATTTGTGTAAAAAAATCTTGTCAATCTGTTTGTTTTGGCAAAATATTTTTGACGTATAAAAATACAACAACCGATGTTTGTTGTAGAAATTCGCCGATGCGGCTACCTTGTATATGTACCTTGGAGAAAACTTAAGATTAACGTTAATTTTTCTGCCGAGGCAAAACTTATTTTTTCGCCTTTAAATAAAAAAGCAACACAATTTATAGTTTTGGCCAAAAAATTCTCGGATCCATATATAACGAAACAACTATTTACGTCTCTTGTTAGACCTATTTTAGAATATGGTTCTGTTGCATGGGATTCCCAATATGCAAAAAACAATTTTTACTTTTTGCACTGAGAGCTATACATTGGGATAGTAGATTTGTGTTGCCATCTTATACTAGCAGGTTAAAATTAAATCGTTTGCCTACATTGAAAAGTAGACGTATTATGTTGAATACTATGTTGGTACTAAAAATATTAAATGGTAATATACCTTCGGATTTCCTAATTTCTTCCATTAGAATAAATGTTCCTTTCCGATCTAGTAAACACTATCATCTGTTATATGTAGACTTCCACCGCACGAATTACTCTATGGGAATTACTAAAATGTGTATAGACTTTAACTCGGTATACTCTAATGTAGATTTTTACTTGAGCGCAAGGTACATGTATTAAGGGCTAAGCAGAATGTTCGCGTTGAGCGTTTTTTGTTATCGCGTTAACGCACGCAAAAAGTTAAAATATATTTAACTCCGAAGCGCAGCGCACATCAACTTCGAGCGTTTGTGTTATCGTTTCCTTGTGGTTGTTGTATTTTCGATAACATATAACGCGACGGATGGGTCAACGTCAACGTTGAATGTCAAAAAAAAATTGTTGTAAAAAATTAATTAATTTTTGTAAATAAAATTAATGTTTCGTGATTTTTTTTCCAATTTTACTTTAAAAGAACCAAAATACGTAAAAATGGACAGGAATTTTATATGAGGGCTACATCAAAACTGAAAATATTTTCTTGAAAGATGTTTTAACACTCCAAGAGCCCGTAATGTTGGTTGAATTTTTTTACAAGAAATGATTCAACCAATCAGAGCAATATGTTTGTATACCCTACACATCTATATTAAAAGTATGTGTTGCCTCAAGAGTTTGTAGCTGCACGACTCATTTCTTGTTGTTTGGGCTGTATTTTGAACGATTATTATGAAAACAGCCATATTTATTCGTAGGCCAGATACCCGGCTCCGTAATTTCCTGGGTTTGGGTCATTATTGTGGCCTCTAAATATAAACCGGTCACTACCATAACGAGTAGAAGTCGACTTAGACCAGAACCGAATATACATACAAATTTCCAGAATTCATCAAGGGAAATTGTTGAAAGAATCCGGCACATACTGAATCGTTCATTCAAAATTGTGCTAATGTTGTGTTTTCAGAACATAATTTTTTCAATCACTATTTGATTCGGGTAGTGATAATCATATTACAAATTATAACGGACAGATGATAAACGATATACAAAAATTTGAGTCTAGGAGTCGTGCAGCTACAAACTCTTGAGGCAACACATACTTTTTACATAGTTGTGTAGGGTATAAAAACATTTTGTTCTGATTGGTTGAATCAAATTTGCCTAAATTTTGAAAAATCATGGCGAATTGAATTTTGTTTGCCTTGTTTAAAAATTTTGACATATTATGTTCCCAAAAAAGTTGCTTTGTGTAGTAATTCGCCGATGCGACTACCTAATATATGTGCCTTGCTTGAGCGTAGAATAAATAAAATCTAATGGCATGTTCTGATGGGCATTCGAACAACGTAGTTCACTCTCAGAATTACGTACATGAATTAACCCGTTCATACAACACTATTCTTAATTAATGTCATCAGAGTTTCTTATTTAAAACTTTTTGTTTCTTGTTTTACATCAAAATTCTAACATATTTCCATGAATCACATATGAATCTAAATAGAAAAATTAATTCTCTTTCTCCTGACTATTGTATGAAACCATATCTATTTACTTTTAATTCATGTTTTTAATTTTTTCTGAAAATATTGTTGTTTTCATATATTTCTATATTTTCTAAATTCAAATGTCACATATAAAAATTTGGAGAATTTTTTGTTTGAGTTTCCCCAAAATTGTTTCTTGTTTTGTACGCTAATTGGAATCAAAGGGAAAGAAATTCGTAGGTACATCCTGCTGCATAAAAAAATGTACATCCTGCTGCATATATAAAAACTATATAATTTTTTTACTTTTCATTCATCATTTTCAATTTTACTAAAAAAGTTTGAAAATTTTAGAAATATTTTCAAGCTGTCAAAATTAATTTATTTTCCATAAATGCTCTCAGTGATTCGAATTGAACAATGTACAAAAGTCGGTGTTCGCTCAGAAAATTTTGTATGGGGAACTAAGCAATTACTTCATAATTAAGGGTCGAACAACGAATGAGAGAGCGAACAACGCTCATCTGTAATTGAATTGAATGTTGACAAAATATTAAAAATTTCCCTTTCAGTGTCAAAAAATTTTTTTGTCGGAATTTAAAATCTTGTCAAAATGCTTTGAATGCACAAAGTTTAAAAAAAAAAAACATTTGACAGTTATTTTAACCCTATGCGACCATTGTTTTTCTGTCTTTCAGCAAAAACAAAGACATCAATTGTAACGGTACATAGGATAACCGAAAATTTGCAAAGGAAGTGAGTAATTTTAAATGTCGAATATATTCGACAAAAACACTGAAAGGGTTAAAAATTTCGTTTGACGTCTAACCTAATTTTGTCTGTCCTGATTTCACCCAACCTGTCAAAATGCTTTCAATTTTGACTTAATCGTTTGGAAACGTAAACAAAAACATTTGACAGTTTGGGATATTTTCTACCAAAATGGCCGACAATATGCGCTTCTTATGGTCCATTGTCAAATTTTTTGTTTACGTTTTCACACGATCAAACAACAAACAAAAAACGGGGTATTTTCAAGCAAAATTGTCGATAATATCCGCTTCTTACACGACACGAGCCCGAAGAGAAAAGCATCCTTAATTTTCTTTTATGCCATGTACAGACGAGCGTTGTTCGCTCTCTCATTCGTTGTTCGACCCTAAATTATGAAGTAATTACTTAGTTCCCCATACAAAATTGTCTGAGCGAACACCGACTTTTGTACGTTGTTCAATTCGAATCACTCTCTGAATCACAAAGAATTTTGTCCCATCTCTAACAATTGAGAGAATTTATCGAAAAAAAATAATTTTGACAACATGAAAAAAAAATTTAAAATTTTCAAACTTTTTCAGTAAAATTGAAAATGATGAATGAAAAGTAACCACAATTCTAGTTTTTATATATGCAGAAGGATGTAAATTTTGTTGTCTACATAATGCAATGTGCATTTCTTTCCCCTTGGTTCTAATTAGCGTACAAGACGAGAAACAAAAGTGGGGAAACCCAAACAA